CACAAAATATGTTCCATTTTTAACAATATGTTTTCAAGATACAGTATGTCCTGAAAATGTACACAAATAAAAAAATAAAAATCAAACCTTTAATGCTATAGGATCAAGATTGAAATCCCAAACATCTCCAATTGAATCATCCAGTGCATCCTCAATTCTTCTCAATTGAGATGTGTACTCCTCAAGAAATTTCCCATAATTCTTAAGTTGGACTTCAGCATGAATTTCTAAATTTAAATTTTAAAACAGCATGTGAGAAGAATAAGTAATGAATTACAGGACATTTATTTCAAATAATCTCAAAAGTCACAGCAAAGTAGACACTAAGCATTGTTAAATATATTACTTTGGAATGTCTGGAGTTCCTGAAAATAAAGTTTCAAAGTTAAACAATAATTCAGGTTTCAATCTTTTCCAAATAGACAAAATAATTTTAAAAGCAGTAGGTGTTACCATATACAGGGATAGCATCTTAAAACTATAACTTTAAAGTATCATGAAAAAGTCACTATCCCATTTACCCCATAATCTAGGGCTTTTAAACAATCTGAATAATGCCTCAGGCAACTCAAGTGTCCTGATTCTATGCTTTAGTCATAAACAACATTTTTGCAAAAAAAAAATTCATGACCTGATTCTGGTGCAAAAATCTTGTCATAGAACATAGATGCTATGTTGTCACAGAAGCAAAACTTAAAAACATAATTCTTAATTCTATACACAGTAAACCGTTTAAAAATACACCTAAATATTGTTTTTAAAATGAGTTTAGACCTGCTTCATCATAATGAATATTATTCCTGTAATACCCAAAATTTACCGAGATATTTTAATTATTTAACTATAATCATAAAGTTGGAAAAGCCAGTAAAGAACACCGAGTGCAGAATATTGTGCTGATATTTACAGAATTTACCCATTAAGAGATGACTCTAAAGAGTCATTAGAAAAAACTGGACAATAAAGGTAGGCCTATTCACCAAAATTAATGAAAGTAAATATTCCACCCTATACATAAGAATTCATTACTTATTCCAAAGGCAGCAAATTCAACTCCAACTCAGTTTCTTTTATTGATGTGAATAACTTTATTCAATCTCCGCCTTCCAAAAAAACAGTAAAATTTTTCTCTCCTCAAATTAGTAATGTGAAGCAACTAAGATAAAGTATGTTCTGACTCCTTCAAGATAAAGACCTAGCTCCCCATTATTTTGCAACTAATGCTCTGAATCAGGTGGATCAGTTTAGTTCATCAAGGTTCCTATCTCATTACAGCATTAATCTAGGCAATTTTGAAAAACAATTAGTTTAGATATGATTCATAGTGCAAAAATTAATGAAAACCAGGCACAGAGAAGAGATGAGAAGCCTTCTCTTCCCTACAACTTAAACTAAAAACTGCCTAAGACTCTCAGAATTCCAAGTTCATGTCTAATTATCAGTTACGTGGGAAACGACCAAGGCTGCATTTAACCAGCAATTGAGTTTTTAACAATACTAGAAAAACACGTCAATAAATTACTCATTTAGTCTGTCTGATAATTCACAAAGTAGTAGGCAACAGATAACCCATAATAAAACTAAAGTTCCTTGCTGATAAGATAATGAATAGTTGTAAAATTGGTTAAAAAAAAAAAAAAGATTTGAAATAACTACATGGTGATTCTTCGAGAGTAAAATTCCAGACACCTGTTTACATGCTTATCTCTTCCAACAGCCCGCATTCCTTGTTTTTTCTTTCTAATACCTAGCACAGTGCCTGGTATGTAGAAAACGTGGAGTGACTCAGATCATTCTGCTCTAAGTTGAACCATTTTCAAACCCAGTAACATATTTTCATCCCAATTTCCTGAAGATACTAGTGTAGGAGAACTGTCGTCCATAAAACTTCATACATGACAAGGAGCAGTTCACTTTATAACAGTAAACACAGAACCCTCTCTATAAAATAATTAAATGTTGTCATTACCACCAAGATTGTCTTTTATGCTGCATAAGAGCTAATATCTCACAGAAAGTTTTGTGAAAAACTACAAACCATTCTGAATTAAGCTCATGCTTCTTTGAGAGGCTATAAAACTTAACTATATCTAAGTTTGTATACAAGTCTTTCTTTGTAAAATTAAGCAAAACTCACGTGTAATTTTTTAAAATTACATTCACCTTTTGGGAAAAATGCATTAAAAAAACAAATTCACAAGCAGTATATCCCAATATCTCTTATATCACTTATACAGATTAATATCACCAAGATAAGAAACAGATTGCCAACTTGTATTAATCTTAAATAGAGTCTCACTGAAATAATTAGATGGCCTCTAAATTTTACTGCGTGGAACTGAATTTGTTGGGTTCTTTTGGTTGGACTTGTAAGTGAAAATCAGTTTGATTTTATGAAGGAAAATTTGCAGAAGATTTGCTGTCATTTTTGAAACTTTTCTAGCTGCAATGGAAACTACAGGATATCCCTGAAAAATACCACTTAACGTAAATAAAAGGCACGGAAGGAGAGAAATTGACATTCACGTGTTTATTTTTTATCATGTGAAGAGTTCTTTTTCGCTATCTTCTACGGTTATAAGAACGAGAAGGAAAACACGCTCAAACTTCCGACAGTTGTTTTGGGAGGAAAAGAAGAAAAACAGGAAACCGAAACAGGAACTCGGACCTCAGCCTCTTCTAGAACTGAACGCTTGGAGGATCCGGCGAAAGCCCCCAAGAGGCCAGACAAGAGCCAGCCTCAGCTCCCCGCGCTGCCGGGCCTCCCCGGACGCGCCCCGCCCCTGCCTCCCTCCGGGCGGCAGAAAGTGGACGCCGCGCCCCCCGGGGACCGCAGGGTCCCCAGGACAGTCGCCGCCCCGAACGCTGAACCCAGACCGGGCCAGCCTGACCCGCCATTGCTGGGACCCCCAACTCCCGAAAGCCACGCTCGACAGCGCATCCCTCTCCCACTCCAGGGGCGGCAAGTGTCCCGACCCGGACGGCTGCGCAGCGACCGCGACGCAGAGCCCTCCCGCAGGAGCGCTGCCAGGGCTGAGGCGGGCCGGGGAGCGTCCGCCCGCAGCCCTGGCCCTGCCGCTCCCTTACTCTGTGAGCCGTCGTCAACGCGGTCGAACTCCCAGTCCGGGGACAGAGTCTCCACCGCCATCACCCCGGCGCGTCCCACAGTCACAGTCCAAACCAGCCCAGGCGACGACGGCGGCCTCACCCCGGAGGCTGTCACAGCACGTGACTTCCGGCCCCGGCCCCACCCACCTGGCGAGGGCCGGCCGCGCTTAATGCCCCTGCTTGCCGCGGGGGCCGCTGGGAAAGCGAGTCCTCCGCGGTGGCCGGAGGCGGCCGCCATGGGGGCGGCGGCGGCGGCGGTCCTTCTCGTGTCCTCCCGTTTCTTCTTGGGCTTTTGCGCTTGTCCCCTTGTCTTCTCATGCCACACGAATACCTGCAATTTCGCCCTGCTGTCTCGAGGCCATTTTTAATACCTGGGGTGTTGCTCCTTCAGTCTTGTCTAAAAAGGACAAAATTAATGGGGTGAGGGCTTAACAGAAGGCGTGGTCCTCGAAGAAGTCGCTGTCCAGGCGCTTCTTGCGAGAGGCCGGTGTTTCCATTGCCCTCCCTGTGGCCTCCACCGGAGTTCCCGGCGCTCTCGTCCTGCACGTCCTGTGCGGATTGTTCTTGAGAAAACACCGCTGTGCGAGAGGAGACCCCAGCGAGGAATTTTACTACTGTGCTTACCTTGCACTCACCGGCTCTCCAGCCCTCCTCTTAAAAAGGCGGGAGGGCAGAAGAAGTGGTGTTTAAGTGTGTTCTAAAATGCTCCTACCTGCTAACTGGCTTTTCCGCAAATAGGGATCTGTGTTACCTAGTGTGTACACAGATATTTGCACGGCAATATTCATTGCTGCACGTTTTCAAATAGATACTAATAGGAAATGATCTAAAGGTCTATCAGCAGGGAATAATTACATAAAGTTTAATACATCCGTACTATGAAATACTAAATAGCTGTTAAAAGAAATGAAATAGATTTATAGAGGCATGAGAAACTGACAAAAGGTAGTTGCAGAATAATGTGTATTTGTGGTTATGTTTATATTTTATATAAACGTGTATGTACATATGTGCATCTAAATGCATAGAAAGAGAACTCAAATCACACCAAACAGGGCAGTGGTGAACTGGAAAGGAGTATGTGCTGGTGATTAGAAAGTGAATTTCTTTCTTTCTTTTCAAAAATTTTTTTCTTTCAAAAAGAATAATTTAATCAAAGCAGGTGTGGGAGATCAGAAATGGCCACCCCAAAATGTGCCTCTTTGGCTTGATTATTTTTAAGAACAAAAGACTCTGAAAGAAACTTTGACCTTCCCCCTAACCGCCTACAAGAATTTAAAATAGAAGGGCCTGTTCCAGGAAGGAGCTAATATCATAAGATAACTGTAGTGTAATGTAAAATGTGTCTTTCAGGTCACATTGTCTATAGTTGGCCCATTTTTGCCTTTCCATATTTGCATTTCCATCTCCATGTAAATTACCTTCCTCCCCCTTGAAGTGCCAAACCACTACCCTCAACATCCCCTTTTGTCTTTAGCTGAAGATGGTATTTAAGGTGGCAGCTTTGGCCATTCTGGCGAGTTACTCGGCTTTTCTGGGTTTCTCCCTTGTATACATGTTATAAAGCTTTGTTTGATTTTCTCCTGTTATTCTGTCTCATGTCAATTTAATTCTTAGACCAGCCAGAAGGACCTACAGGGTAGAATAATTATCTTCCTCCCCTACACAGGTCAAAGATCTCTTGAAGAGCATTCCCTGAGGCCCATGGATCTGCAGGTCAAATATTTGAGTGCCCACTAGGTAGCAGGCCCCGTGCTAGATGCAGAGATTATTATGAAAAAACAGACAAACAGACAAGAAAGTGGTTCCAAGATGAATCTCACTGGGCTAAGATCAAGGTGTTGGTAGGGCTGGTTCCTCCTGGAGACCCTGAGGGAAGGATCCATTTCCCTCCTTTTCTCAGCTTTTGCACATTGTTCCAACCTCCTGCTTTTGTCATCACATCTACTACTGATTTTGACTCTCCTGACTTCCTCTTATAAGAACCCTTGTAATTACACTGGGCACACTCAGATAATCCGGAATAATCTCCCTATCTCAAGATCCTTAATTTAATCACATCTGCAAAGTCTCTTTAAACATGTAAGGTAACATAGTCATAGGTTTGGGGGATTAGGACCTGGACATCTTTGGGGGCCCATTATTCAGCCCTCTACATACAGGAAGTCTTTTCTGATAATTGCAATATCTGGATTTCCTGTGGGTCTCTTTTCTGTTGTCTGGTGTTTTGTTGTTTTTTGTTTTTTGTTTTCTTTCTCTTGATTTTCCATCGTTTGGTCTTGTTTCCTGATACACCTGCTAAATTTTTTAGTACATCCTCTTCTTTATGTATGAAAACGTGTAGAGATAAGTTAAGGATCTGAATGATGTTACCTTCCTCCAGAGAGGATTACTATTTCTTCCGGAAGGCTATTAGAGTAGAAGCAGATTACTTCAATCCAGTCTAGGACTGTTGTGATTTGAAGCTGGGTTTCTATCTTTGTGAGGGCTGTTCTATGCCGTATCATCTTAATCCTACAGTGTAGCCCTGCAGGGGTGCTTGACAGGTCCTGCCAAACCTCCGCTCATCTTTTCAACCTCTCAGCTACTGCTTCTGCTACTCAGCCTCTTGGATTCTCAGCTTGCCACTTACAAATTGGCAAACGCTTTGAGGTGAAATGTGGTGCCAAATGTCAGGCTCACCTCTCTGGACCTTCTCTCCTGAATGTCAGTTCCTCAAATCCTCACTGTCCTAGGTCTCCAGTGCCTTCAAAAATATTTTTAGCAACAAAAGCAAAAATGGTCAAAGGTGACTACACCAAACTTTAAAAGTTCTGCACATCAAAGGATACAATCAACAGAGTGAAAGGCAACCTACAGAATGGGAGAGAAATAACTGCAAGTCATATATCTGATAAAGGGGTCGATATTCAGAATATACAAAGAAGTCCTACAACTCAACCATAAAAAAAAAAGTAACCTCATTAAAAAAAAATGGGCAAAGGACCTGAATAGGTATTTTACCAAAAAAGGTATACAAATGGCCAACAAGCATATGAAAAGATGCTCAATATCACTAATCATTAGAGCAATGTAAATCAAAATCACAGTGAGATATCACCTTACATTAGGATGCCTACTATCAAAAAAGGAAAAAAAACCCAGAAAATAACAAGTATTGGCAAGAATGTGGAGAAATTGGAACACTTGTACACTACTGGTGGGAACATAAAATAGTGCAGCCTCTACGGAAAACAATATGGAGTTTCCTTAAAAAACTAAAATTAGAATTACCATATAATCCACTTCTGAGTATATATCCAAAGGAATTGAAAGCAGGATCTCAAAGAGATATTTGCACACCCGTGTTCAGTGCAGCCAAGAGGTGAAGCAGCCCAAATGTCTATCCACAGATAAATGGATAAAGAAAACGTATATTCATACAATGGAACATTTTCAGCCTTTAAAAAGAAGGAAATTCTGTCATGCACGAACATGGATGAACCTTGAGGACATTATGCTGAATGAAATAAGCCAGTCACATACCATATGATTTCACTTATATGAGATATTTAGAATAGTCAAAATCATGGTAAAGAAAGTGGAACGGCGGTTGCTAGGGGCTGAGGGGAGGGGAAATGGGAAGTTGTTTGGTGGGGTATAGAGTTTCAGCTTTGCAAGATGAAAAAGCTCTCTGGGGCCGGCCCCGTGGCGTAGTGGTTAAGTGCGCACGCTCACGCTCCCGGGTTCGGATCCCGGGCGCGCACAGACACACCGCTTGTCAGGCCATGCTGTGGCGGTGTCCCACATAAAGTGGAGGAAGATCGGCGTGGATGTTAGCTCAGGGCCAGTCTTCCTCAGCAAAAAAGAGGAGGACTGGCAGATGTTAGCTCAGGGCTGATCTTCCTCACAAAAAAAAAAAAAAAAAGCTCTAGAGCTCTCTTACACAACAATATGAGTATAGTTAACACTACTAAACTGTATACTTAAAAATGGTTAAGAGGGTAAATTTTATATTATGTGTTTTTACCGTAGTTAAAAATTCAAAAAAAAAACATTTAAAAAAATATTTTACCAGGCTCTTCTGGTTGTTCTTAGCAGGAGAACTGTTCTGATACAAGCTAGGCAGTCATAGCTAGGAGCCCTGATGACTTTTCTATTTTTGTTTTTAGCAAATATAGTTGCTTATTTCTCTGTTTCCATTCTTTTGCTCCTCCAGCTAATTCTTGACTTAGCTGTTAGAGCTTAATTTTTAAAATACAATCAGAGTATGCTACTCTCTTATTTAAAACATTGTCAGTGGCTTTTAATTGTGCTTACAATAAAATACAGTATCTATGGAAAAGCCTACCTACCTCACTGACAACATCATCGGTCTCTTTCCTTTTTGCCCATTATAATCCAGCCACATTGGTCTTTTTGTTCCTCCAACAAACTGAGGTCTTTTCCACATGAAGGCTTTCACACATCCTGTGCCCTCTTTTTGCCTGGAAAGTTCTACCCACTCTGGCCATCTTCCATATCTCGGATTAAATGTCATTGCCTTAGTGAGGCCTTCCCTGACTACACAATCCCAAATAGGTACCCCTTTTATTCACTATGTATTTTTTCTTTTGTAGCTCTTATCAAAATTTTTGATCATTTAAATATTTGGAGGTTTTCTTGTTTAATCCCTATCTCTCCCTCTAGACTATAAGCTCTAGAAACATCCAAACCATGTCTCTTTGATATAGTTCAATGCCAAGTATAGTGCTTGGTACATAGATGATAAATATGTATTTGTTGAAAGAGTAAACCAACAACTCTCATTTTTTCAATTGCTCTGTAATATTCATTTTTCAGGAAAATTATTTCCTCTTAGTTCTTCAGCGGATGGCACTGTTTGTTAAAGACTCTGTAAGTGTAAAAAAAACCATTTAATAAAATGGCTTTTTTAATTGTTCATTTCTTCAACCAGTATTTAATCAGGACCTCCTCTGGTTGATATACCACAGTGACTAAAACCCTTCAAAGAGCTCAGTTACCCAGTGAGAGAAACTATTAAGATATTTTAACTTAGGAGCTGACAAAGTCAAGTCAGCAGATCTGCCACCTGCCTTTGTAAATAAAGTTTTATTGGAATACAGTCATGCCCATTTATTTGCGTATTGTCTATGGCTGCTTCACAATACTATGGCAGAGTTGAGTAGTTGCAAGAGTGACCATATGGCCCACGAGCCTAAAATATTTACTCTCTGGCCCTTTAAGAAAAAGTTTGCCAACCTTTAACTCCAAAAGAGCAAAATGAGCAAAAAGAAATGTTTTTATATATAAGTCACAGTATACAAAGTGGGTTGAAATAACCTAATTTAAAAAGTATAAGTATATTATAAAAAATCTTATGATTAACATATTAAAGCAATTGACAAGGACACCTCCATGTCCTAGTCAGGAGGCAATGGAGGCAGCTTAAACTAGTCAAGTGAACCCACTTGCAGTTAATAACTAAGAAAAGTAGACAAAATAGAATAAAAATAGAATTTAAAAAAATAGATCTTTGTAAAGATCTGAAAGAGAATAAAAGCAGGCAGAAACCACGGAGAATTTACTCAGCAACTGGTAAGAAGTATGAGTTTGCGGCTTTTTGCCTGACAGTGTCCTCCATCCCTTCAAATCCAGCAGTGAAACATTGCCGTCTCACTGGCTCGAGGTGGTAGCAAACTAATTTCAGGCTTCTTGGAAGAGACGCTGGAAACTTGGGGGTACCCTGAAGCAAGGGAGCCATAGAAGGGATGAGAACCAAAATCCACGTGTAAACTCTGCCCCAACCCGTGGCTGACCACTGAACTCCACGCAGGGGGCCTGCTGAAATAGCAGTCAGGAGTCCTTGAAAAACAACTGCCCTGGGTGAGAGGTGCGTTTGCTGCCCTCGGACACACATATTCCCCAACAGGTGCGTACCTCAGGAAGCAAAAGCTGAAGCCCTGTGGGTTTAAGAGAGCAGAGAACAGAGGTTGGACTGGCAGAGCAGATGGAAATTTAGAAGAGAAAGCCAACAGTCAAACTGCCAAGGGGGTGAAAACCCCAAAATCTGAGCAAAAACATTGGCCACATCTTTGTCTACATGAAGAACTGAGCAGAAATATAAGCTGCTGCACTCTACAAGGTCTGAGTCCAAGCAAATTTACTTCTTTCTAAGTCCAACCCCCACCAATTTTCTTAAGAATGTAACAGAATTCAGAGTGTCAGTGAATTTGGGGCTTTTCCTTTTCTCTTTTTTTTTTTTTTTTTTTGGTGAGGAAGATTAGCCCTGAGCTAACATCTCTTGCCAATCCTCCTCTTTTTGTTGAGGAAGATTGGCCCTGGGCTAACACCCATGCCTTCTTCCTCTGCTTTATACGGGATGCCACCATAGCATGGCTTGACAAGCAGTGCATCGGTCTGTGCCTGGGATCCGAACCTGCGAACCCTCGGCCACTGAAGCAGAGCGTGGAACTTAACCACCTCACCACTGGGCTGGCCCCCGGTTATTTTCTTTGGTGAAATCCTCCCTCGTGACACCAAACTAAGTTAGTCACTCCTTTCTCTCTGTGTTCCTCAGCCTCTATTCAGTCACTCAACTCATTTATTTCTCCATTCCATAAACGTGTATTCCAAGTGTCAAGAACTATTATCTGTCAAGAACTGTGCTGGACACTGGGGTGCAAGGCTGATCAGCGCACTCTCTGGCCCTGAGTTAGGACCTCCAGCTTTGTGTTTCCAAAAACTCTGTTTCATCTTTTATGGCACTGATCACACTTTGTTTATTTACAATTCTCTGCTGGATTATAAGCAACATGAGGGAAGTGAATGTATCTGCCTCATCCATCTCTCTACGCCAAGCATCTACCACAGTGCCTAGAACATGGTAGGTGCTTAAAAATTACTCATTGAATAATTGTCCTTAAATTTGACATGCAGTTTAGTGGGGACAGCCACAAAGGAGCAATATATTATTGAATTATTGCACACAGATTACTGGTGGGAATATGAAAGTGGTAGTGGTTATTTCTACCCTAGCACTTCTCATAGGGTATTGTTTATTTCTTTTGGTCATTTTTCCTGATGTCCCTGGTAGGTTTTGATTGAATACAGGAGAATGAATGAACAATTGCAGAGGTTCTGGATGATGTTGTCTTTCTCCGGAGAAGATTGACTTTATTCTTTGGCAGGCAGCTAGAGTAGGGCAGATCAACTCATTCCAATCAGGGCTGAGCTCAGGTAAGGCTGGGCTGCAGTCTGAAGGTAGCTGCTCTGCCTCTAGATTACACTCTCTCCTAGGGCGACGTCTTCTAAGAACGTCAGTTGAGATCCCGGGATGTTTACTGGACTCTGCTTCTTGGTAGGTGTTGAACTCTAATTTCTTGGTACTGAAAACAGTGCTTTCCTTTTTAGCCATTTTCTGCTTGGTTTTACAGCCTCTAATCCCATGTCATTAAGAATCAGCAAATACTTCCCACTGAAAACAGATGTCTGCATCTCCCTTGTCACCAAGATCTTGGCTCCTCAAGTCCTGGCTGTTCAAACTCCAATTGTTGTTGTCTCTACCTAGGAACCTCTATCTTATCTGAGGCTGCAGTAGAAGTTGCTTGATCTTCATTTTTGCTTAAGTCATGTTGTAATGCCCAGAATTTTTTAAATGGCCTTTTTGCAATTATTTCCTTTTGCTGCAACATTTCGCAACTATTTCAAGAAATCTGAACCCCTAAACTTTCATCTCTGATGAGGATAACTTGCTTTCAACATTGCTTCTTCAGTTTTCTCTAGACTAGTCACTTTTCCTCTTATGTCTATATCTCACTAAAGATGTCTGCAGACACAATGCTCCCATGTACACCAGACACTGGGAGAAGCAAAGAACATGCCATCTTTTCCAGCAACTTCCCTATCATTATTTAGAAGAGTATTTCATAATTTCCCCAAAAGTGGCGATTACACCAATTATCTTTTTGTTACTGATTTCTAGCTCAATTCCACTGTAGCTAGAGTCATAGTCTATGATTTAACTTCTTTATAGGCTAGCACATGGTGAATTTTTGAAAATGTTTTATATGTATTTAAAAAGAATGTGTATTTGGTAGTTGGGTGCTTCTATATTTGTCAATTAGGTCAAGTGCATTGATCATCTCATTTAAATATTCTGCATCATTGCTCATATTTTTTCTGCTTCCATCAGTTATTAAGAGAAGTATGATAAAATCTTCAGTTATGGTTGCAGGTTTGTCTATTTTTTCATGAAGTTCTGATAAGTTTTGCTTCATAAGATTTGAGGCTATGTTATTAAGTGTATACAAATTTCGAATTTTTATATCTTCCTGTCAGATTAACATTTTCTTTTGGTTAGAGTATTTTTTTTAAATCATCTTTTCTGAATCTTTATATCTTACGAATCTCTCTTGTAAGGGTTTTGTTTTTTTAAGCAATCTGACAATTTTTGTCTTTTAATTAAAGCATTTAGAAATGGGTGAACTGTTTCTTCCTAGTTTAAATAAATGGAATAAAATTTTTAAAAAAGAAAAGAATATATGAAAGCTGATGATAAGCCCCAGAGTTGCTGAGAAAACGCGCTTTTTATATCCCACCTTCTAGGTGCAATCCGGCGATGTGCATCAGTGTTTAAACTGCTCCCGTTGGGGTCCGGCCTGGTGGCGCAAGCGCTCTGCTGCGGCGGCCCGGGGTTCGCCGGTTGCAATCCTGGGCGCCCACCGATGCGCTGCTTGTCGAGTCATGCTGTGGGGGCGTCCCATATAAAGTGGAGGAAGATGGGCACGGATGTCAGCTTAGAGCCAGTCTTCCTCAGAAAAAGAGGAGGATTGGCATCAGATGTTAGCTCAGGGCTGATCTTCCTCACTAAATTAATTAATTAATTAATTAAATAAAATAATAAACTGCTCCCTTTGGCTCAGACCCATTTGTGAGGATGAAGATTGAGGTCATTTACTGAAGGTTGCTCAGGAGAGAGACAGAAACAACCTAAGGTCTACCAGCAGGGTTAGGTTAAATGAATGACGTGTCCGACTCTCCATGGAGTGTGGAGCAGGTGCTTAGAATGACAGTGCAGAACTTCATAATCGAATTAAAAAAATGAAGCATTTTCATTTCCTGCAATTACTGGTATATTTAGGCTTAACTTTAACATCTTCTATTTTTTCCATCTATCTCATGTTTCTTTCTCTCCTTTCTTGCCTTCTTTTGGATTGATTTTTTTTTTATCATTCTATTATCTTGATAGTTTTACATTCTATTAACTTGGTAGTTATACATCGTACTACTATTCTTTTAGTGGTTGTACTAGAGATTATAATATGTATCCTTAACTTGTTAAGGTCTAACATACATTAGTACTTTATTATTTCCAAGGCAATGCTGCGACCTTAGAACACTTGAACTCCACATTCTCTCCCTAAAAATCATATGCTATTATTGTCATGTATTTTAATTACATATATATTTATATATTTTTGTGTGTGCGTGAGGAAGATCGGCCCTGAGCTAACATCTGCCAATCCTCCTCTGTTTTTGCTGAGGAAGACTGGCTCTGGGCTAACATCCATGCCCATCTTCCTCTACTTTATATGGGACGCCGCCACAGCATGGCTTGCCAAGCGGTGCATCGGTGTGCGCCCAGGATCCGAACTGACAAACCCCGGGCCGCCACAGCGGAGCGCACGCATTCAACCACTTATGCCACTGGGCCGGCCCCAATTAATTACATATATTTTTGAACTCCATAAAACATTATTAGAATTGTTTTAGACAATTAATATTAACTTAAATTTGCCCTCATATTTACCCTTTCTATTGTTCTTCATTCCTTCATCTCTGAACTTCCATCTGGGATTATTTTCTTTCTGTCTAAAGAAATTCCATTCTTTCAAGCCCTCTAAACTTATCCAACAATTTTTTATTGTGGTTTGTATATTTTCATATATATATATATATCTTGTGGATGTATATAGCCACAAGATTTTATTATTATTCTTCATATGGTCAAAGTTCACTTAAATTCACTCACATATTTGTCCTTTTTGTTGGTCTTCATTCCTTCCTGTATTTCCAGTCTTCCATGCAGGTAATTTTCCTCCTGCTTGAAGGATATTCTTTAATATACCCTTTATTGTGCTGATGACAAATTCTCTCAAGTTTTTGTTTCTAAAAATGGCTTTATTTCATGTCCATTTTTGCTGGGTATTGAAACCTAGATTGGCAGGACTTTTTTGTTTGTCAAACTCTCTAATTGCATCTGGCCTAGCCTCCAATTATCAAGAGAACTACACTTTTGGTTCTTACAGAAGAAAATCTTAAACATCATGAATATTTCACTATACTTGGGTGAACATAAACCCATTTTCTAAAGTTAGGAGTTGGAATCTATAACTAGATTTCCCACTTAGGAAAAACCACACCCCTTTCCCACCCCTCCCAGTTTACATAGATCAGAACAAATGAAATGAATATCAATATTTGGAAGCTTAAACGAAGCAAGAAGTCACAAAATGCAGTCAGGGAAATGAGTGGAGTTGGCAAAGGGCAGTTCCCAAAGCGAAACCCCAGATGTTAGCCGCCATTCTCCAAGCTTTAAGGACAGTCCTTTTTGTCTCCTTCTTACCTTCTCAAACACATTCATTCATTCATTCACTCATTTTCTCTCTCAACAAGTATTTTGTAAGCTCTGCTTAGTGCTATCCTGATAAATCAGACGTGGACTCAGCCTGCCAGGAGCTTCCAGTAGAGAAGATGAAGGTACATAAATACCAGTAACAAGTTGAGACGTCATAAGAGATGCAGAGACAAAAACCCTTCCCAGTTCAGAGGCGTGAAATATTATTTTGGGGGAATAAGGAGGTTAGGGAGGAAAGAATAGGGAAAAATGCCTCCAGGAGGGAGCATTTGAGCTATACCTTTAAGAAGAGAAGGAATTTGTTCATGCCGAGATGGTGACAAGTGACAGGTGACAAGCTTTTCTGGTAACCATTGTCTGGGAGGGAATTGGCAAGTACTACGGTTAGGCTGAATCACATGTGCAAAAGAGCAGCAAGAAACAAGAATGCCAAATTGCAGACGGCCTTGAATGCCAGGCTAAGGAGTTCTGTTTGAGACAACTGCTCAGCTAAAGCAAGTCTGAGCGTTTCTTCTAGAGAGATGAGGGAGAAGGATATCTACCTGCTTATCTGTCTGTCTGTCTGTCTGTCTATCTATCTATCTATCTATCAGGGACCAGCTCTGTGCCAGGCCCTTTGCCAAGTGCTTTGTACAGAGTCTCTCATTAAATCCTCTTATCAGCCTACAAGATAGGTCTCAGGATCCCTAGACTACAGGATCCCCATGCCTTATGTTTTGTAGCTCGACGCACGCTGGCATGCCTGTTGCTGTCTCAGGACTGTGTTATGAACATGACTTGGGGTGTCAGATTGACTATTACAGCAGATGCCTATGTACCTCAGAGAGTTTGAGTAACTGGTAGAAGGTCCCACAGCCACTAAGTACCTGTGCCATGACTGGAACCAAGGCAGCCGTCAGGAGCGGTCACTCCGGGTGGTCACCGGCGCAGCATCCCGGCCGGGGCCCCGCGGCTCCCGGAGACTGGCGCACGCCCCGCCCAGTC